AAAGTTTGTAGTGACACCGCGCATTGCACCTAATCCACGACATTAATGCCTATCTAAGCTTCCCATCTCCATCAGCCATTCCGGTACCTGACTGCAAAATCGTTCGTCCGAATCATTATCCTACTTGGCATCCCATAAACCATGCACCTAGGCTCAAACTAGCAGCAAACAAGCTCTTACATGCAACCTTTCCAGACAAGGGTATTTATCTACAGGCAGAAAGAGAGACCCAAGGCTTCCAATCTCAAACGATATCACCGGTAATGACGGAGACGCGTATATGTATAAGTCGGTGAGAAGGGAAAACAACGAAGCTAGACCTGGGTCATGAATTATTCCGAAGTGTCAGCAAGCTGTAATCCACCCATGGATGAAGTTCTTAGATTCGTATTTAAACCATAAAGCACCCTTCTCAGCCTTTGTTCACTCGCTCCTCTTTTCACTCAAGTCCAATTGTCTTTTCTGTTCTCAATTGACCACCAAAAGAAGTCTTTACAATGGTTCGTCCATTATTATTTCTTGCTTCTCTGCTTCCAATCGTCACAGCAGACTGGAACATCAACAGCGAAGCGCAAAGACATGCTTGTCAAAAACAAACGAAAAATCCATTGGAAGGATGCGATGTACAGAAGACGAAATATGTAGATTTCGCGGGGAACGATTCGAGTTTCAAGACAGTGCAATCTGGTATGTAGTTGGATTCTCCGTGAGATATGGAGTGAGGAGTGGTAGAGCCGAATTGAGGCTAATTATGAATGATCGTAGCTGTGGCAAGTTTGCCAAATGATACTGATACATATGTTATCCTTATTGCATCCGGTAACTATACAGAGCAGGTGAGAATCTTGTTTAATTTGTTTCTTGTATCCAACTTCTTCACCTGCTAACATCGTATTGTAGGTTAACGTCACTCGTCGTGGTCCCACATATTTGCTCGGTCAAACCGCAAACCCTAACAATCAATCTGCGAACACCGTTAATATCATCTGGAAGGCGGTTGCTGGTACTGGGGACAATGCCTACACATCCACTTTGACTGTTGCACCAAACCTCAATGCATCATTGACTGGAAGTGGACCGACTGGATTTGCTGTCCCACCAGGAACGCCATTTGGATGCACAGATTTTAGAACTTACAATCTAAATCTCATCAATGATTTTGTGCCATACTGTGAGTTGCCACCTTTCTCGGGGAAGAGAAAAGAAAGAGTCGAAAATACGATTGGAAGGAAGAGAGGAACCAGAAAGAAAACGTTCTAACAAAGTGATAGCTCATGGACCTTCCCTTGCATTGAGTATAAGTTACGCAAACGGTGGCTTCTACTACACTGGCTTCTATAGCTACCAAGATACCGTATGTTTTATCCACTTGCTCGTAATACTATCCACTACTCCAAACTAACACATCCAAGGTTTACGTAGGAAAACTATCCAACTCCTACATGTCTCAATCTGTTGTCGCCGGTCAGACCGATTTCTTCTACGGCTTCGGAACTCTCTGGGTCACCAAAACACAAATCTTACTTCGATCATGGTATGTGTATCTAAATGCGCCTAGCAAACAAGAAGCTGACCTTTTTTAGTGGTGGAGGAATTACTGCATGGAAAGGAACCAACACGACTTTCGAGAACAAATATGGAGTGTATATTGTAGATTCAACTGTGCAGAAAGCAAACAGCAGTTTAAGCATCCAAGGAATATGTTCACTTGGCAGACCTTGGGTACGTTTCCACCACAATCTACACCATCTACCAAGAAGCAAGCTAACCATCATTCAACAGAATGCACAAATGCGATCCATCTTCGCCCGTACCTACCTCGATGATTCGATTCTCCCCGCAGGTTATATCGACTGGTCTCCTGCCCACTACAATGCCAACAATGGTAATTACAGCACAGTCCAAGCTGAATATAAGAATTATGGCCCGGGATACAATGCAACTGCACGAGCTCTTTCGTTGTTTGATGTCCAATATAATGATAGCCAGTGGGCTCCTTACAGTAGTCCAGCGAACGTTTTCCAGGATCCTGAAGGAAAATTTGGGGATGTGAGCTGGGTGGATTTCAACGTTTAGTTTGACTGGCGAGGAGAGAGATCGAGTTGCATGACACATGAAGTATATATAACGTGTGTTATCAGTGAGTGGGTCATATCAGTGAACGGGTCATTTCGAAAACCATCTAAATCAAGCTTTCTAAAATATTAATATTTTAACAATCAATTATTATTTTCTTGAATAAAAGATCTTAAAAAATAATTAAAATCTAAGTGTTTTATTAACTTAATTTTTATAAAATGATTTCATTATTTTCTTAAAGAAAAGGAAATTATCACGATTTTCATTACAAAAAACTATTTTTTATAATAACAACTTTATAAATTCGAATTTCTTAAAATTAATTAGATTTTTAAAATTTTTATATATTCAAATTTTTTATATCAAATTTTTAGAAAATTATATTTATAAATAAAGAAAGTATACGATTACACATAAACGAATTTTGTATATAAAATAAATAACTCATTTACTAATATGAATCACTTACTAATAAAATACGTTAATATTAAAGAAATAATTAATGATTTAATAAAAACTGTTTCTATAAAGTATAAAGATATATTTAATAATTCAACTATTAACTGCCTTACTCACCCCTACTTAGTATCGCTAAGTAGTATAACTATCAGAAAAACATCAGAATCTCGATTAAGATCCAAAATCAAATGGAGTTGGAAGTTTCGAGGTAATTCAAGAGAAGTAACGAATTAGAAGTATTTATAGTTGTGGATTTATTACAGCTAAGACAAGTTTTACTCCGTAGATAATTTGTTCCTATAGTATGACGCCCATGACTAAGCAGTGCCTTCCCTATATCATCAGGAAACCTGACCTGAGCTAAGATACCACTAGCGCTATGAAACCACTTTACGCGACCGTCGATAATCAAATCGCGTTTCCTCGAACAAACAAAGTTACTAAATACTGAATTTCAGTCTCAATTCACCATTCTTCACAAATTTGCCAATAACAACGACAAAAACTTCAAAATGGCTTCTCACAACGATGTTGCAGATGGAAATCCTCCTCAAATTAATCCATACGAAGTTCTTGGTATTGAGAAAACTGCCTCTGAAGATGAGATCAAACGCGCATATCGCAAAAGTGCTTTGAAGCACCATCCAGGTATGTTTTAACATTTGTTGACACGGTTCTATATTATAAACGCATAACTCACATGAGGTTCTCTATTTGGGACTGTCATCATCAAGATGATTCAATAGGCCACTACATAAAGCGCATTCAGACAGCTAACAACCTCCCAGACAAAGCTCCAGAACATCTCAAATCTGATTCGCATACCAAGTTTCAAGAAATTGCTTTTGCATATGCTGTTCTCTCCAATCCAAACCGTCGCAAACGCTATGATCGTACTGGATCTACCTCTGAGTCTGTCGATGCTGATGGATTTTCCTGGACCGAGTTTTATTCCGAGCAATACAAAGACGTTGTTACTACTGATGCCATCAATCAATTCGCCAATGTTTACAAAGGTTCCGATGAGGAGAAAGATGATTTGCTGGCAGCTTACACCAAATACGAAGGAAAATGGGGAAAGATGTATCAAGTCATTATGCTAAGTGATCCAGTTGAGGATGAGGAACGATTCCGCGAGATCATCGAGGAAGCAATCAAAACTGGAGAAGTGAAGGAATATGCTGTCTTTAGGAAGGAAACTAAGGCTTCGAAGGATAAAAGAATGAAGAAGGCGAGAGCGGAGGAGAAGGAAGCTGCGAAGGCTGCAAAACAAATGGGAGTTGATAAATTGTTGAAGGGATCTAGTGGGGATGCACCGGAACAAAGTAAGAAGCCAAAGAAAAATGTACCTGGTCACATGGATGACCTAGCGGCTATTATCCAGGCCAGACAGGCTTCAAGGGGTGGCTTCTTTGACAATTTAGAGGCAAAATATGGCGGAAGCAAGTCGGCAAAAGGCCCTGGTGAGCTGAATGAAGAGGAGTTTCAAAGAATTCGAAACGGTTTGGGCAAGAGCAAAGATAAAGCCAAGGGCAAGGGGAAGAAAAGAGCAGCTGACTCGGAAGATGAAGTTGAGGAAGATGAAAAACCGGCACCGAAGAAGAAATCATCAAGAGGTAAAAAGAGAGAACCCGAGGTAGAGCAAGAAGATGAAGATGTAGAAATGAACGACGTTGGTGATGACTTTGAAGCGGAAGAAGCTGAGGAAGATGAGGAAGAGGTCGAGCCTGAGCCTGAGCCTAAGAAATCAGCTTCTAAGAGAACAAAGAAGCAACCAAATCGGCAATCCAAGCGCGGTAAAACTACTCGGGTATGATTTTATGAATATGGAAATGGAGTTTGCGAGGATTTGGTCTTTTCATATATGGTCGGATGGATACAACATGCATAGAAGAAGGCGTTGATAACTACAATGATTTTTTAATGCGAAGATTTACCCATTTACTTTTAACATAATTACAAATCCATGAATGTCTATGCATTTGATATGGGTCTTTTCACGTCTGATTGTTCGAGCATCTTGCTTCTGCTATACTGATTGCTTGACACACTTCTTGATATTCCAATAATGTCTACCCGTTTGATAATATCTCGTACATCTCAAGTGCTCAAATCCACATAGTCTTGTGAGTATCTTAGTTCTAAACTTACAAACTTGAAACCCGTCTTCAAACCTAAGCTTCTTCCCGCAAACAATACTGTCCACCATGCCACGTGACACAAACCTCCCACGCGTCAACCTCGCGATTTCCATCTCCACTTTCGCCTCTCACCTCAGTCTCCATCGACAAAAACACCCAAACAATTCACACACGCGAGACTCGCTCCCAAAGCATAAAACAAAAAACCTTCCCAACGATCAAACTTCCCACTCGTCACTGTTCGACGTAAAACCCAAGATATCAATCGCATACAACACTTCCCGCATTGCCGCATCGCACCATGCTCCAAAAGAAAATGTCATGACATCCCCCTCCTCATCCGCATCGGCTCTTGCGCCCCTCGTACCGTCATATCTGTATGATCTCTCGCCTACCATCCATAAATGGTGTGCGTTGCGCTGCGCGGATATCGTTTCTTTGACTACGAGGGGGGTTTATTTTGAAGGTTTGTTTGTTTGTTTCTTTTATTTATTTATTTATTTCTCGAGACTTTCTCTCTCATTCTCAGCTATCTTATCTAGACGCTTTCTTCCATATTCCTGCTCCCTTCTTTTGCGTCGAGTTTGGGTCAAGCGGCCTAGAGATAAAGGGTTATTTATATAATGGCGTCACATGAGGAATAGATGAAAAAAAGATAGATAGAAAGAATATCCAGCTAATTTCTCCCCCCAAACAAAAAGATAAACTAATCCACCACCACCTCAACCATCCCATCCGCTACATAAAACTCATCGGGCTCATCGTCTCCATCGATACCTTTGCGCGTCGGCGCGTCTATACCATCGATGATTCAAGCGGTGTGTGTATAGAATGCGTTGCACTCTTACCGCTCTCTCCCTCGGAAGCTCCTCCAAATTCAAATTCCCATCCTCCTCCCCCTTTCAACAGCCCCTCCATCATCACGCCCCAAATCCCCTGGAACGACATCTCCGAATGCAAAGTTGTGCGCATCCTCGGGATTGTGGGATCGTACATGCACGTTCCGCAATTGCAGATTGTGAAGATGGGGATGGTGGGCAGTACGGATGTGGAGCGCAAGTGGTGGGATGAGTGTCGCGAACTCAAGGATCCGGAGAGGGGCATTTTGGGACGGGAGTGGGTGGTCGCGAGCGAGGAGGTGGAGAGGTGGAAGAGGAAGGAGAGGAGGCGGAAGGCGAGGGAGGAGGAGAAGAGAGGTGGAGGGAGAGATGGACGGGTGGTGAAGATGAAGGCTGGGAGTGGAAGTGGAAGAAGAGAGGATACCCAAAGAGCTGAAGAAAAGCGAGAGCTGGCGAGGAAAAAGACGACAAATTCCCAACCACGTTCTTCAACCAAAATCTCTCGTTCCACATCCAACCCCAAACTCAACTCCCACCCCTCCCGTCCTCCCCACGAAACCTCCCCCAACAAACCTCTCCCCCGCCCGCCCATCAAAAAACGATTCGTCCCCACGATCCTCCCCGACCTATCCAACTACGATACTTTTGGCTACTAATGTATACCCCTCTACCCAGTAAGGAGAACCCTTCCAGAAAATCGCAAAAACGCAACATAAATCCCGAACCACGCATTCCGATAGATAATTATAGGTAACTTGTTTACTTACTTGTGTTATCACATATATCTAGATCCATCTGCATATCCATATCCATATCCACATCCACATTTCTAAACCACAAACCACAAGATATGAGATAATGGATATCGGACATACAATATACAATATACAATCCAAGCCAAGCCAAGCCAAGAAACACAAGAAACAAGATATCAGAAGAACCATAGCCTCACAGCCTCATAACCTCTAGCCGCATAGTCTTCCTCCCTCGAAGGGGCTTTAGCGAAGAAATTACATCACATCGCGATTAGAGATGAAGATGAAGGAGTCTGTCAGGAAGATGGAAGATGGAAGATGGATACGATGATGTTGAAGAAAAAACGTGATGATATGAAAGATATGAGAGATAAGATTAATACATTCTTACTGCTGCGAAGATGGTGGATTTGTCTAGAAGGGGACGAAGAGGTGGTAAGGAGACGCATGACATGTACTTATTGTATAGAACTGCATAGTCCAATGGTGGAATGGCGCAATGGATCGTATATTTCAAATCACAAATTTACATACGCACATACACATATCTATTCCCCTAAAACTTAATCGAGCTCAACGTATTGTATTACTCGCAAGGTATCTATCATACACAGAGGTAATGGCTTTACAGCTCCGAGCTATTGTTACAGTTCATCCATTGCTCATCCCAGCAACCCTACCATAAAAGCCTCCCTCAAGTCCCATTCCTTTTTTTTTTTAGTAAAACAAAGCAATGTTAAAGTGTGCCGCATTCTCCATCTCTCCATCTTATGGATTCTCGATATCTACCTTTCATATCCAGCGCTGAAACGCCATTACCATAATGAATACAATCAATGCCAACCAACACACGTCATACATCACAATTTTGGATTAATATCCTGCCAAAGCCTTCACTGATCTGACAACAGTTCCTCCAATTTCACCTGCCCCAGCAGACTCATCTGGGTATACCAAAAATGCGAGAGCAATTATGATATATAGACCAAGAAGCTATGTAAATGTTAGTAAAATTGAAACGTGATTTCGATTCCAATCAAAACTTACCATGCAACCCTCCAAATAATTACTCTTACCATCCTGAACAACATAAGTGACAACCAAAACACTCAAGAAGAAAACAACAGTTTCGAAGGTCTCAAAATGTAAAGTCATAGGTTTATCCATGATCCAGCCCAAGATCACAAGGAATGGAGTGACGAAAAGAGCGATTTGCATGCTCGATCCGATGGCCACACCCATTGCTAGATCCATCTTGTCCTTGACGGCAACCACAATAGCTGTTACATGCTCTGCTGCATTACCGACAATTGGAAGAAGAATAAGACCAACAAATGTTTTGGAGATATGAGCTTTCTCAACAATCGAGTCAATCGAATCAACCAAGTAATCAGCACAGACAGATACCGCAATCGTTACAATAACGAGAACAGCAGCAGCAGCCCACGGACTCATTTGTGGTACTTCTTCCTCCTCTCCTGCTGATTGACTTTCGGCATCAAATAGGTTGGAATGGGTTCGAAGTTGGAAGAACAAATAAAGACAGTAGAGAATTAATAGAATGATGGCTGTTCCGTGAGAGAGGATCAAAATGTTGGTTTCAGTATCGGCTGATGATTTACTGAGAACAGAATAGAGCTTTCTAAGAGTTAGATTTTGTTGCAGCTATATTGGATTTCAGCTTACAGTTGCAGGTATAATCAATGCGCATGCGGCAAGAACCATGAGGGATGACATTGTTCCGGCGACAGTATCGTTGAACCTCTGCTCAATGCCCATAGATGTACCAGTGCGAGTATTGTGAATTCCACCGGCAATGAAGCAGCATCCCAAGACAAGAAGGGAGTTCGACAAGATACTACCCAACATACTCGATTGAACGATTCGAATTTGACCCTCTTTCAATGCTATGATACTGACCTGCAAGTTTCGATATTAGTAAGTGAAATGTAAGATATGGCACCTTAACATACAATAAGTTCCACAGCGTTGCCGAATGTTGCGTTCAGTAGACCTCCCAAAGTCTCTCCCAGCTTCATCGAGATTTCTTCCGTCGCAAACGAGAGAATGGAAGCCAATGGGATGATAGCGAAGAAGTTGAGTGTGAAGATGACGACTGGGTCCCAGTGTGTGAGGCCTGCAACGATTCCCAATGGCACAAAGATCAACAGAACGTTGACATAGCTACTATACAAAGTAACTTTTCCTACATGCCATGCCGACGCCGAGTAGCTAACCATGACATTGTCGCTGTCGGTTCCTGGTGTATGTCTCTTGCTGAGAAAGAATTCATGAACACTACTCTTACGTCTGTCTCCGGCATGTCCGTTGACGCCCAACAGACGCGAGGTTTCGTCCACTCCGTTTGACATATTTCCTGAGTTGATTCGATTGTTTTGTGATGGAAGGGATCTTACACGGGCGAGTTCCCTTCGATATTTAGGTTGTGCTACATGCCAAAGAAGATATAAAGTTAGCCCAGCCACTCTGTATGTATATCCAGTATTGAAATTGCAATGCGCCGCAGCCAACTTAAGCTTCGAAGAAGTCCCTTGGCAATTCGCTGGCAGATTGACAGGTGGGCCAGATATACAACAAAATTAAGGAAAATGGATTTAGGTATCGACAAGAGGCAAAGGAGTATTACTTGGCTTCAAGCGTTTAAGTCTTGTGATCTAAGCAATTGTCCTGTGATGGAGACGACACCAAGGTTATGTTGGGCTGTGTGATACCATTCAAGTATCGAGCGCGAAGGAGAAAAGTAACAAAGGGCTTGGATCAAAGACCCGACTGCAGGTGCCTGTAGCAACTTCTTACTTGTGATATGAGATTGGTGATGAGATAAACCATCGAACTCTCAAAGAGGAAACAATATTGTAAATTGAATTTCGGAGATGAATATCTTCAAAAAAGAGAGCACAGGAAAGGCGGAGGGAGGATAATTTGTTTACTTACAAACCATCTTGGCAAAATTCTCTTTTTTTTTCTTCTTCTTCGCAAAGCAGAGAATGTCAATGCCTATATGAAAGGAAAATTTAGAATTTTTTTTAAGGGAACAAGTTGTACGAAAAGGGTAATTGGTTAAATGGGAAGAACAATAATGGATTGGGTTGGGATCATGAACGTTGGTTGTAACTTGTGCGCGTGGTTATCGAAACTCGGGCACACTTTTTTCGTAGCTTTGACGGTGCGGGCAGCGGGAAGAAAAGTTTCCAAGTGCTTTTTGCCAGGTGCTGCGCCTCCTTTTGAGTGGAGGAGGGTTGATCAAACTTCTGGGTACAGGCGAGACTGGTGGTAGCTACCGAGATGATAGTCCCTTGTTTATGACGATGGTGAGGAGGATGATGATGATGCACGTTGTAACTTGATATTGACCCAAGCCCGTCCACAATGTGATGAAAGGATGGAGTCGATACGTTTCAAGAGAATTGTGGATGTTTGTTCTTGATGATGAAACCGAAGAAGCCGTCACGACCCAGGAGAGGAAAGTCGAGTGGAGAGGTGGAGAGAAAGAGAAAGACGAAAGTCGAAAGTCGAGTGGAGAGAAAGAGAGAAGACAAAAAGGCACGATGTAATCAATCAATATACGAGAGAATAGAAGAGAGAGGAGATGGAACTGGAGATGCAATTGGAATAGGAATAGGAATAGGAATAGGAATAGGAATTGGAATAACAAACGATAATTGAAAAGGATGAATCCTCTTACCTTAGGTAGTTTGAGTTTGTAAGAAGCAAGCAAGCAAGTAAGTCAGTACCTGTATAATAGATGATATGTGTGGATACCAGTATGTGGAGTGGAGTGGAATGTATGTATGTATGTATGTATGTATGTATGTGTGTGTGTGTGTGTGTGTGTGTATGTAGATAGATAGATAGATAGATATGTACTAGGTAGGTAAGACTTTTGTGATATCAATATCAATTTCGTAGAAGGAACAAAGATGCAAATGCAGATGCAGATGGAAAATTGGGGAATGGAGCTTCAGCTTATTATTGTCGTGAAAGCATTGTATAGTCAGTCAATCGCACTGCCTTTCCCAGAAGTTGCATCTGCCAAGATTTATATTCAAACTTTATATTGCCAAGGAAAGAGCTCCTGCTGATGATAAATTGGACTTTTTCCTTGATACGCAACGCATCGCATCGCATTCAGTGGCACGAAGGAATCCGGACTCGATCGATTGGTGACGGTGACGGTTGATATTGGTGAGAGTGTTTTTGTGCTTGGACCTTGTGAGATTCACGAATCATAGCTAGGGAATGTGTACAAGAAGAAGGTAGGTAGGTAGGTAGGTAGGTAGGTAGGTTTAGGTTTATATGAAAATACAATAAATACTAGCTGTGATACTAATAAATAAAGATTCGTATAATTACCTCCCTATCCTTCATCCTCGTACCGACAATACCTTGGTATCGAGGGTATAAAACACAACAAATCACGCACTTCTCCCATTCAAGGTAGAAGCTATGACCAACCTCCATCACAATCTGACAGTGACTATCAATCCATCGAGGCAATTCTACAATTCTACTCTACAAACATCAGTCAACATCATCAACATCATCAACATCATCAACATCATCAACATCATCAACATCATCAACATCATCAACATCATCAACATCATCATCTCGCACATCTAACTTCATTCGAGAGACCGACCTATGATTGGTGGGGGAGTAATATTTAATGATCGATGCAATTGGGAATATGCTCCGGGGGATATACATCAGAGGATTCATAAGTTACCGAAGAAGTATTTAATATCTACCCAGTACCCAGTACCCAGTACCTATCTATTATGAATAACGACAATATAGATAACGACAGCTGGCATTCATCTGCAGGCGAAAATCATATTCGCATGTGCTTACCTCACTTTACCTTTATTTATCCTAAGCTTTCCTGAGTTACCTACCTACCCAAATATTCTACCTACCCACGCGACCAACTTCCTCACAAACCCATTCATGCAATTCATGAGGCATTTAATCAACTCGCTCACTCGTTCACACGGGATACAAACACAAATACAAATACATACAAATGTGGATAACCACACAAACACAAAAACAAACCCGAACTCCAGCAAATTACCACTTCCCGAGCGAGTTTCCACTCGTATTGGCATGTTTCGCCAATTTTCTCATCGCCCCTTTTTTGCTATTACTATTTATTCATTTATTTATTTATTTATTTATTCACTGATTCTTCTCATCAATCGGTGGATAAGTAGACAAGTAGATAAGTGTGTAAGTATTCAAGTATTCAAGTATTCAAATCTATATCTATATCTTCTACGCGTAGATACGCATTCTACATAGGTACCTAGGTATGTATGGTATTGTATTTATCGCAACGACGACGAGGCATCCATCCCCGTCCGTCTTTTCTAACCCTCCACTCTCAGGAATTGGTCAACTTACTGGGTAAATAATGTACTCTGAATATATCCCACACCTCCCACTCCCCCTCCCTCTCCTATCCCCCTCCCACCCCCAAATCCCTCGAAAACCCTCAAAACCCCTCGAAAAATCTAGACCTTCCCTTCTCTTCTAAACATCTCTACCAAATCACATCCCCCATCCCATCCCATCAAATCCATCACATTTCCCCCTCCAAAAAAAATCAAGTCTTCACCGTCCCGTCCATTACCCAATAAGATCACATACCAAGCAAGCCCCGATATGATGCATTGGGAATGTGCTTACTTGACTTGACCTTACTCTATACGACTCTCCACATGCATTGCCGCGTGTATAGCGATTCCACCAGAGAATCGAAAAACATTACAAGTGAGAGATTTCTACCCAGATATAAGCAGGCACGTCAATCATAGCCTGCTCTAAAATCCTAGGTAGGCTTTAAGAACAACGAGATGGATGAAGTTCGCGAGACACTGTGCGTGGCGACGTATCAAAGACAGCAAGAACAATTTGATTTCCATTGACACTTATGGCTCACTACCAATAACGCGAGGAACGAGATCAAGCAAATAAATGAACCTATTACAATTTTCATTCAGCTAGGATTGGTGAAAGACGTCCATCTATAGTAGTGGTATTTCCCTCCTAAACGCCCACGCTACGCCCCGTTGACAAACTATCCCATCCCAACCCATCCGTTTCAACACTTCGCCTATTTTATGCTGCCTCTGTCAAGATACCTTACCCGATTAACCTTTTCTTCCTCTTCCTCTAAGCCCTTTTTCTTTCCTCGTCCCCACTGCTATACGCTGCATCTTCCTCTTCCCTATTCACTTCGCTTTGTCTCCGTCTCATTTGTCCCCTCTCCTTCATCGCTCCACGAATCTTCTGACTAACCTCATCAAAACTTGCTTTACCATCCAACGCACTAAAGCTTTTCAATGGGAATCCCGCTGATCCTACGGCGCCACCACTACTGCTACTACGACTCCTACTCCTGGATGGTGGTCGAGTTGCAAATAGTGCAATGTTACCTAGATTTCCAAACGACTCATTACGTGGAAGATGTCCATTCATACTAGAGCCACCGCCAATAGATGCACCTGCAGTATTGCTTCTGTGAAGAACACGTGGAGGCGATTCATCCGAGATGCCCGATTGATTGCTACCGCGACGTAGATCGGTTTGACGAGGTGAAGTGGGAGTCTTAGCCCCATCACGATTAAAGGGATCGGCTACTATTCGGGAAGCATCGAAATCAGGGAACATTTCAGGGCCAAGTGTATTGATAACATCGGTAACCTGTGCGCTGAGTTGTGCTCTGCGCTCACGTAGTTTAAAGATGACATTGCTAGAAGATGGGTTAAGAGCCACGATCAATGGTCGCAATGATTTAGCAATATCCATGCCAACTTCTCCGAATCGAAGAGCTGCAAAGGTAATAGCTGGGAAAAGGATATATCCGAACACGAAGATGGCGTAGAGGGGTACCCATTCGGGCACATATCCTTGAACTCTGTTCTTGTAAGTCCAATATGCGAGAATGATGGTATAAAAGTTGTACAAAATCGGTGCAAAAGCAAGGGCGACCAAGAGTTTCCATGTTGCCATAACATCCCGACCTTGAAGCTTGACCGTGGAAGCAGCTAAAGCTTCCTTCGATTTCTTGATGCTGATAATTTTGGAAGCTATGAAAACCGGAGCAAACAAGACAAGCCCTGGAATGACACCAATAGATAAAACAGCTAGTTTGCCTAGGCGATAGAATAGAAGGAATACGGCTTTTGGAACAGAAAATTTGGCATATTCGACTTGATGATCCTTAAGATTCATGTAACGTAGTTGTCTGTTATAATCCAAAACTGATTTCTTGAGTGAAACAATCCTTGGATCATCCTTGTAGTGCGTATAACCCTTAACCAATCTTCGATTTAACTCGACTACCATGGGAAGTGGAAGCTTCTTGCCAGTTGGATTATACAGTCTTCGGGCGGCTTGGATAAGCATGAGGGTATCATAGTCAGGACTTGTAACAGTGACAGCAACAAGGGCTTGATATACAATATCCAATAGTTGACTGACTGCCCCTCTTCGGTCCCCACTTTTGTAAAGCTCAACAAGCTCTTTTGGAACTTCGATAGGATTACCAAACTCGATCACGGCTCTTGAGCGAAACTTATGGGCATGAAAGTAATTCATGCCACATGGTACAATTTGAAGACCGCTATCGGGATTGGCAGCCAGAGATCCAAGAGCCATAATAGCCACACCAGCTTTTAAAGGAAGCAATTCGGTCCTGTCGTGGCTTCCACCCTCTGGGAAAATTCCAACAGCTCCACCACCCTTGAGACGATCAAAGACGGCATCATAAACTTGGGTTTGATCAACTTTCGGGGCAGTCTTATATTTTGAGCCTTCAAAACCTTCCTTGGTACCCTTGACAGACTGATCACCAAACTTGCCATTTTCGTCAACATCAGTTCGTCCCGTGAGTTGTATCATAGCATTCCGACCTTTGAAAGGTTTCTTCAATCTCATCTCCTCTGCGCTAATTACTTCCGCTATTTCCGTATTGGCTGCGGTCCCGTCCATCGTAGGCAAAACCAGTAATCCTCCAACTTGTACTTCCTTGCCGTCGAATTTTGTACCGACTCCACGAATGAGTAGCGGATCATTGATAGGATCTGGCAGGTATATTGTACCAGATCCAGGCTTTACCATATCCAGAGCTCGTCCAACAGGAACCGCGCCCACTTTTCGTGCGAACCAGCCCACGATGAATCGACCCATAGATTTGGCGGCGATAAGAAAAGCAGCGCGACGATGGCATTCATTTCGGAGGGTGCGCATGAGGATAAGAGGATCAACGAACTATATAAATGGGTTAATTCAAGAGTTCCAAACCTGCAAAAGCCATCTGTCGCATACCTGATTTGCATGAGGGGCTGCTACAAAGATAACAGGCCCGCGCCTTGGAACTTTCCATGCTCCTCTTGGGTGGACTTCGCGAAAGAAGAGGTCGACAAGTATTGAAAAAGTCCATAGGAATACATCGTATATCCAGTTTGTCATAGGAAATTGTTCCTTGTGCTTGGCCGTTCGAGGCATATGTTCGTGAACCTGCTGCTCGTTGGCCATGATGGCGGAA